AGGGCCAAGGCAGATGAACATGTCCCACTGGAGTTTGAATTCGGCGGAACCAAATGCTCTCGCTAGGTCAATGCAGACGACATTGCCAAGGAGAAGAGATGCACTGTAATGTGATTTCTTCAAAAGAACTTAGAATTTCATATAAATTATAACAAATGGATAATTGAATTTCAAAATCCAATTACAATTTCCTATGTTCTCTCTTTTTGTCTTTCTTTTTCTTCTTCTTTTTTATTTTTTGTTTTATTTGTTTTTCGGGGGGGTTGTCTTGTTTTATATTTTTTCTCTTCTTTGTTTTCTTTATTTTATTTATTGTTCTTCTCTTTTTGTTGTTTTTCTTTGTTTTTATTGTTTTGTTTTTCTCTTGTTTTTGTTTTTTGTTTTTGTTTTCCCTTTTTGTATTTTTTGTTTTCTTGTTTTTTCATTGCAGCCGCTGGGGCGGTACCACTTTTTCACGCGCAGACGAAGACGAATTGCGAAGACGAATTCCCGAAGCCGAATTCCGTCCCGAAGCCGAATTTCCCCCCGAAGACGAATTGCGAAGACGAATTCCCCAAGACGAATTCCAACCCGAAGACGAATTGCGAAGACGAATTTGCCGGAGCCAAGGTCCCTCCCGAAGCCGAATTCCTCCCGAAGACGAATTGCGAAGGCAATTTCCCGAAGACGAATTCCCCCCCAAAGACGAATTGCGAAGACGAATTCTCCGAAGCCGAATTCTCCCCCGAAGCCGAATTCACCCCCGAAGACGAATTGCGAAGACGAATTCGCCGAAGCCGAATTCTCCCCCGAAGCCGAATTCCCTCCCGAAGACGAATTGCGAAGACGAATTTCCGAAGACGAATTCCAACCCGAAGACGAATTGCGAAGACGATTCGCTGGAGCCAAGTTCCCTCAAGAACACGGGTTCCCCTAATGAGTGCCGTTGAGCAAGCATGCTGACAGTGATTGTGGTAATTTCGTCCCCTTACCATAGACGGCGCCCTACATAGTAGATGATTTTGTCAAAGCCCAATCCTTCACTAGAATTTGAAGCCAGTATTGATCTATCCATGGTCCTCTTCTAGGAGGCCCGCTGCCCTCAGCCAGTCAGCGTTTGTAAGAAAAGAAGACCCTTCCTTGAAAACAGTTTTTGTTAGACCTCTCGGCTTTGACCCTGTCCCCGTCAGAAGTGCAAAAAAACACACAACACTGAACACCCAGCGCCTGGAACCGGGGACCCCTAATAATTTAAGACGTTATAATTGCGCAGTTGGCATGTTTGGGTTGTCTTCTGATGAGGGGAAGGGATTAGTTTAGCAGGGGGTTGCGCAGACGATGCTCTCCTCTTTTGAGGGTTTCCTTCTCGTCCCCCTAATAATAGAGGGACCCCTAGATAGTAGATGTTGTCTGCTAAGAATCTCCGAGCCGCAGGCTAAAACATCCTAAGGGCAGATTCTGAGGGTCACCCTGTTACTTCCCCTTGTTTAAGGTCCTAAACCTTTGAGGGAATTGTGTTTTGTGTGCAGCCGACATGTACATGCGAATGCATTTGGCTCAAGACCTTGAAAATAGAATCGAGGCAAACATCCAAACACAGCTGTGAAACAAAGCAAAAGGGTTCGTATTCCGCGGTCGCATCAAGTCGTGAGACGACGCAGATCGGTATTGGTCACCCCACGGGAGTCGAGCCCCAACTGCCTTGTCATTTGATTACGTGGTTGATCCGCCTCCTGGCAGGTTCACTCCATGATGTCGCGAACATTTGGCTCGAGCAGCAAAACGGCGCAGAACAACATTGACAGTTAGTGAAGTGTACAATTGGGTATCCTTGGTTTCCCTACCAGCACAAGGTCCTGCCATTGCACCTCTTAGAAAGGGATTCCCCCAGGTCAAAGTTCCAAGAAATGACACGCCAGGGTTTCCGAATCGGCAGGGGTTTCTTGGCGTACCTTTGTTTCAAGCAGTACCTACACCCGTCAAATTCGTGCGATTCTCCGTTCTTGATCTGCTTCTTCAACCTTTCGTCGTTCCAATATTCGCAGCCTTTGGGAAGTTCAAAGAGTATTGCGGCTTTCATGGATTCGGCATGCCGCTTCAATTGGGAAAACACTGTGAACAACTTCCAAAATTCAAGCTGTTTATTTTGGGTGAGTTTGCTTGTTGTTGGTCCTCGTGTTATGTTCAATCTCGCCCATGATGATCCTCCCGTGCAGGGTCCAGCAAAAAATGACATGTCGTTCGATTTGGTACTGGCGTGCTTGGCGAGGTTCTCCCCGTACTGGGATTGCAGGTCATCCTGAAGTGTGATCGTAACAACCTGTACGTCCCAGCGTCGCGCAAGCGCGGTAAACCAGTTGTGCGATTCCGAACACGCCATGACAACCGTTGGTTTGTCGGGGTCCAGTGCAACAAGGGTGACCTCTGTGCCAGTAGCCAAACCATGTACATAGACGTAGCCAGGCAAGCCAAGTGCGTTGTGATTCACAAAGCGAGATGTAATGTTTGCCTTCGGATCAGCAGGTCGCAAATGGTTGCGAACCGCAATTCTGTATGGGAGAAAGAAACGATGATTGCCTTGTTCACGGTGATGCGCATGCATGCGACGCATCATAGTTTCGAAACACCATAAAATACGTGCAGGGAGGGAATTAATAGTTGTGTCTAGGATGTCCTGGCCATCGACTTCCTGAATGAACAGTTGAAAAGTCCTGTCCAAAATGTTGTCTCGGCTGAATAACCTTGGGCGCTGGGGCCGCAGGCTGTATCGGGTGAAACTGCCACACTGCACACGCTCGACGTACTTGTCAATGCGCTCCCACTGCAATGCGGGTTCAACACGATCCTCAACTTTCTCCCATGATCCTCCGCACAGAAACCAAGTGGAACGCAACCACCGTGCGCCAATAGGACATTGCACCGTGGGCGGTGGCTGATACCGCTTCGGAACTTTTGCCACGATGACCGGATCATGCCCTTCGTGTTCACGAAGGCCTTCCTTGGATGACAGTCCTTGCCACCAGAGGTCGGGAGGCATAATCGGCACCTTCGTGTACGGAAATGTGGGGATGCCATCGATCGAACCAGTAGCTGCCTGCGCGGATTCCTTCTTGGGGTCAAAAGAAGATGTGACCATCTTGAGGGTTTCCGGGTCGGTCAACCTTTCCGGCTCCAGTGATCCCATTTACATGTTTCCATTTTCTGGAGTCACTGAAAGCTTTGGTATGCCATACGGTCCGTAACCTCATAGGCCAGATACATGTAGTCCCGCTCGAACATGTCATGCATCCATGTGACAGCAACACCATGGCTTCGTTCCAGATGCCTCATAGTAGGGTTCTTACCTGATCGAACAACACTGATCATAGCCTTCTTGTCATCGAAGAACACAAACTTTGGCTCCTTACCCAAAATACGCTCCATCAACCTGAGCGCAGGCATGCCCGTAGCTCTCATTGCAACATCGGCAGCGACGATTTCAGCCTCAGGGGTGGAATGACTCACACATCCCTGTCGCTTAGAGCTTCCGGACAAAGGAAATCTTGTATTGGGACCTTGTAGGTTCATGTGAGCGCCAGATGTCGACCGCAAAGAATCGGCGCACCCAGAAAAGTCAGCATCAGCATAAACTGCCAAATACATATCTTCGACTGAATCTCCGACCCAGCCAATCATCCTCCAATGCTTGGCGCGATGAATGTAACACATCAAGTGATGAAGCTTCTTATCATCGTCGGTTGTCCACTTGGTGATATTCCTCGCCAGACGGTTGACCTGCCTGAGTAAGTCAAAACGTGCAATTCTAGCACCATACAATTTTTCATGAGCACACTTGCCGCATGAGGTGCGAGTTGTCTCCGGATGAGCTCCTTCCGAAGTCCCTCCTTCTTGGCATGATGGAGTTTTTTCCACGCCAATTGCACTCGACCGACGGCCGGTCTGTATCGGAGCCCTCGACGGGTGATCCTTAGTCTCTTCATGGGGGCCAGGTGTAGGAACCTTTTTCACCTCAACGTTGCCCGCTACTTCGAGGTAGCCATCGACACAAGAGCGCTCCTAACCCTTTTTGAGGTTGTTCTTTGGACCAGCCATCTTAAAGTCGTCATAGACCACAAGAACTAATTGTAGTTCAGGATGGGTATAGACAGAAGGCCATTCTTCACCAACCGGCTGAAAACCATTGAACGCACCGATTCATCACAGTGCTGTTCCCAAAATGTACCAGCATCAGAATGACCGTGCAAAGCCTTCACCAAACGAACCACGGGTCTGTTGAACTGATTCCATCGTTCTTTATCATCCTCAGGAACTGCTTCGGCTGGAAGCTCAATCCAACAAGGTGTACCCCGCAAAGTGGCCTGGATATATGCTTGTACCGCATCAGCCATCTGCACATCCCATCCGTCAAGGCAACCTAAAAAGTGCATCTGGAAGCTTCGAAAGTTGCAGGAGAATTCCCCAGATCTTGAAACAATGCCGCGTCCGACGTCTGGTTCTTAATTAATCTGGTTCCCAAGCACCACCCCACGACCTGTGTATTTTCTGCGTGGGTCTTCTTCCGAAAGTTGGGAATGCTTCTCAACTATTATACCATGCGCCCTGGCCATGTGCACTTCTTCGTTCTTCTGTTTTGCCTCGCGAGCGACATCGTAGTACTCACGGATTACAGATAGATCGAAGACTCCTTGGTCAATTAGACCTTTCCATGGAGTCCATCGCCTTGGTGTTGGTAAGCATCTCGGCCCTTCCCACAGGTCGTGATACCATTGCGTTGATTATTCTTGCCACCTTGACGACCTTCTCACGATGATCTTCTTCGGCCGGAACACAAGGCATCTTGGGATAGTCGCCCTCAGGGCAATCAACCATTGGCGACGCCGCGCAGGTTCGCAAACACAAATCGCGCGCTGCCAGGTCCTCCCACTCATAATTGTATGTCAGTTCATCTGTACATTCAGATACATTTCCTTCCATCCATGTTCTCCGACAGTTCCCCATCATGGTCGTTCTCTGGGATAGAT